CCTCCTCGTGGAGATCTTGCTCTGCGCACAGGGCTTTTTTTTCTGGGGGAAAGCACCAGAATGCAGTTCCGGAACCTCTTCAACAAAATTCTTTTAAAAATGTCTAAAAGTCTGTGAGTTTTCAGGATACACACTGACAGGGCTTTTTTTGTAGAAAAAGCCCAGCAGGAACTCATTAGCATAATAGGCCACACCCAACAGCAGAAACGTATTAGCATATTATGCCACACCCCTGACAAAGCAGCTCATTAGCACATTGGGCCACACCCCCGTGTTACCAGAAGTGTGCTCATCCAGCCACACCCACCTTTTGCTTCTTATCCTGTTTACCTTGTTTGTTGTCAAAACCCAGGGCCTTTTTTGTAGCAGGGACTCCTTTGCATGTTAGGCCACACACCCCTAATGTAGCCAATCCTAATGAGTTCCTGCTGTTGGGTGTGGCCTATTATGCTAATGAGTTCCTTCTGGGCGTGGCCAACTCGGGAGCCAGCCAGAACTCCGTTCCTGTGCGCTCCTGCCCAAAAATAGCCCTGCACACTGAAAACTTCATTTCCCTCTTGAGAGTTCCGCCCTGTTCTGGGGACAAAATGGGAGAGAGGGGAGCTGTGTGTCGCTCTGAGCTCTTGGGAGTATAAAATCTGCCTCAGACGGATGACCTGTCCTGCTTCTTCTCGTTCGCCAATGGTGCCCCGAGCAGAAATGAGCAGCAAAATGATCGACTTCGACACCTTCCTGCCGATGCTCCAGCACGTCGCCAAGACCAAAGACACCGGGACCTTTGAAGACTTTGTGGAAGGCCTGCGGGTTTTCGACAAGGAAGGGAACGGCACCGTCATGGGGGCCGAGCTCCGCCATGTGTTGGCAACTCTCGGTAAGCAAACGCGGGCATAGGAAAGGACAGTGGAGGGCGACCAAGATGATTGGGGGGTTGTTGGAGCACCCCCCTATGGGGAAAGGTTGGAGAGTCAGAGAGTCCAATCAGATGGCTCTTTAGATCCGCGCGAGGCACGATCCTCACGGATCTAAAGGTAATGTTCAGACACAAACATCTGGGAAATGTCCCTCTTCCGTGGGCATCCCGTTTTGCCACGCTTCGGAGCCGTGCTTAAAAGATAGCACTTTAAATCTGTGGTTTTCCATTACCTGCAGGACAACTGCAGACTTTCACCCGTCTGATAGTTCCACCAGCACAGAATCCTCCCGTCGGGGTGGTCTGACGACAGACCATCCCGAGCGGGCGCCATTTTAAAAAATCTCTACACCTGTGTGGATCAGAAAGGACGTGCTGTCATGCCTATGCACATGCGCAAAATTTTTTGTTTGTTTTTTTAAAAAACCCTCCAGGATTTCTGGACAAACTGGCCTGGAGAAAAGGGCCATGAGAACTAAGCACTGATGCACAACCCTGCCTGCCCTCCCTCTCATGATCTGCCAAAGTTCACAGAATCAGCATTGCTGTCAGATGGTCATCCTTCTTCTTCTTCTTCTTCTTCTTCTTCTTCTTCTTCTTCTTCTTCTTCTTCTTCTTCTTCTTCTTCTTCTTCTTCTTCTTCTTCTTCTTCTGGGGAAACCCCCGCTTTGGAGGCCCGATTTCTGCCGCGGTGGAATTGGGACCCGGGGGGGAATTCCACCCCCCGAAGCTGCGTCACCAGAGGTGACGCATGACGTAGAGCATGTTGGGGGTGTGGCCCAGATCGTCAGGGGGAAAACCATATGGTGTGTGACGCACGTCCCGCAGCAGCTCCTGGACCGAGGCAACGCTCCCCCGCCGGTGAGTCAGAATGACTTGGCAACCCTAGATCACAAGGACACATCTGGCAAGCGTAGCACACCCATCACCAACCTGTAGCGTCCACCCAAAGATCCGTAGCTTAAAAATACCCGGGAAAGCCTACTAGCAAATGGTTTGCTATGGGCCATCGACGAAATACCTACGTGTGATCGCTCAAGCACGCTCCTCTCGCCCTGTTGACGCGCGCTGAAAACACGGTCCAACAAACAAAACCCCACTTTGCCGCCACGGCATCTAATCGCGTTCTGGCGCGCTAAATTGCGCTGGTGTGAAAAGCCACGCCTCCCCCCCCCGCATCATCTGGCCTGTGTGACTGGGGCCATTGTTATAGTTGGGTTTGCCTGTGTCCTTTATAAAGTCTATAATCTCCAGTACTTGGTGTTACATTTCATGGCAAACATGGCCTGGCCCAACAAAGTGACATTTCTGTCAGATCCCATCTGGCCCTCATAACAAATGAGTTTGACACCCCTGATTAGTTTGCCTAGCCCCTGGGAATAATGTTTGTGGAATGGAAGAAGGAAAACTTTACACCATGCCTAAAGATCAGAAAATCTAAAATGGATAGCTGCTGCTGCGGCGGCATTATGTCTTAACCTTTTTTGGTCGGGAGTGATGACATTGCCTGTGAGATCAGTGTATACATATGCACTGCACCAAGCGACGAAACAAAAGCTGGGGTTAATTCCTAATAAGAGAGGCAACAAGGCCCGAGTGTGTCTCTCAGCTATCCTCCCTGACCTGGAAACATGCCCTGCCCCCTTTGTGCCAGAGAGGGCATACGCAGAACCCAGGGTTGCCAACTCTGGGTTAGGAAATTCCTGAAGATTTGGGGGCGGAACCAGGGGAGGGCAGGGTTTGAGGAGGGAAGGGAACCTCGGTGGGCTATCACCTTCTAGCCCCCACCTTCCAAAGCAGCCATGTCCTCTAGGGGACCTCATCTCTGTCATCTTGAGCTCCGTTTTAATTCGAGTTCTCCAGGCCCCACCTGGAGGTTGGCAAGCCTACCAGCTCTTGTCCAACATCATGGATCCATTTTAATTGGCCCTTTAGACCCTTGAACTGAGCCCAGCCACCTCTATAAATAATAGCAAGGAACCCATTTGCATTGCCTAAAAGTGGCTGAAATGTCGTGCCTCTGTGCTGACGATATCCCAACTCAATTGTCCCTAAAGGCCTCATCCAGACCCAATCTAAGGTCTGGTTTAGACTGTTGAAGTGTATCAGGATGTGCCAAAAATAAATCTGTTGACTGGATTGTTTCCAGATCTGACCACAGGGAAGGGTCTGCTCAGCCCCTGTTGACCACACGTTCCCCTCGGAGCCGATTTGTGCCAGCTCAGGGGCTAAGAGGTTGTTTGTCTCGAAAAGACGAATCCTTTGCCAAGACTATTTTTGGGGCTGGATGTGATGTACGGCCCTGACCTGGCTGGCCCAGGCCAGCCTGATGTCATCGGATCTCGGAAGCTAAGCAGGGTCAGTTCTGGTTCGCACTTAGAAGCAGAGACCACCAAGGAAGAGTCTGCAGAGGAAGGCCATGGCCGACTACCTCTGCTTCTCCTTTGCCTTGAAAGTCCCTTGCTGGGGTCCCCATAAGTCTTGGATGGGAGACCACCAAGGAAGGCTCTGCAGGGGAAGGCAATGGCAGACCACCTCTGCTTCTCCCTTGCCTTGAAAGCCCCTTGCTGGAGTCACCATAAGTCTTGGATGGGAGACCACCAAGGAAGGCTCTGCAGTGGAAGGCAATGGCAGACCACCTCTGCTTCTCCCTTGCCTTGAAAGCCCCTTGCTGGAGTCACCATAAGTCTTGGATGGGAGACCACCAAGGAAGGCTCTGCAGTGGAAGGCAATGGCAGACGAAAGCCCCTTGGCTGAGGTCTCCATAAGTCTTGGATGGGAGACCACCAAGGAAGACTCTGCAGAGGAAGGCCATGGCCATCCACCTCTGCTTCTCCCTTGCCTTGAGAGCCCCTTGCTGGGGGTCTTCTTAAGTCCTAGATGGGATACCGCCAAGGATAACTCTGCAGAAGTTATATGGGGATTCGATGCAACGAACATGAAATTGAGCCAACTTCAGAGAACGGCGGAAGACAGGAGGGCCTGGCGGGAGATGATCCATGGGGTCGCGAAGAGTCGGACTCGACTGTGTGACTGAACAACAACAATGAGGTACTATGGGGAATGTGTGTTTCTACGTTCTCTGCTTTTCTGTTCCAGGGGAGCGGCTGACCGAAGAGGAGGTCGACAAGCTCATGGCTGGCCAAGAAGATTCAAATGGCTGCATCAACTATGAAGGTCAGGATCGGGAAACGGAAGACCATTGTTTTTTATTGGGTTGCCAACTTCCGGGTGGGGACTGGAGATCCCCTGGAATCACAATCGATCCTCAGACTGCAGAGATGAGTTCCCCTTGAGAAGGTGACTGCTTCAGAAGGCAGAATCTATGGCCATCTGCCCCACCGAGGTCCCTTCGCTTTCCAAACCCCACCCCCTCAAGTTCCACACCCAGATCTCCAGCTATTTCCCAAGTGGGAGTTGGCAACCCAATGGTTTGGGTTCTGTTCAGTAGTGGCAAGGGATGTCCCACTCCAGCCAGGAGAAGGCCTAAGAGGGCTACGATGCTGGGAGAACCAGACTTTGGAGTGGGAGTCAAGGGCCCTGTCTCAGACTCAGCAGTGGAGGTTGTACTACAGGTTATGGCTTTGCATTTGAAGTATTTTAGAGGCAGCGTGGTAGAGTGGTTAGAGCACTAGCCTAGGATCTAGGAGACCCAGGCCTGAATCCTCAGTCTGCCATGGAAACCGGCTGAGAGATCTTGCACCCGTATACCCTATCAGTGAATGTGAATTTATTTATTTATTATATTTATTATTTTAATTTATAGTCCACCCTCCCTGCAAGCGGGCTCAGGGCGGCTCACAAACAGGGCGTAAGCCAATACATAAAACAGATTAAAACCACATAAAACAATCAATACAATACTACAACATTCATAAAGTGCTCTAGATGTTTCGGAACAATCTTCCGTGAAAGATTAGCGTCTTGAAGATGGTAACTACCAATCGGTGATGTCAGTTCCACGCGACACTGTCTTTCTCTCTTCTCAGGGCCAGTTGGAACTGATGTTCAAGTAGTATCATTGGTGATAATGGTGGGCAGCTCCTAATTGAAAGCCTGATGGAAGAGCTCCGTCTTACAGGCCCTGTGGAACTGCGAAAGGTCCCGCAGGGCCCGGGTCTCTTCCGGGAGCTCAGTCCACGAGGTAGGAGCCGCCACCGAAAAAGCCCTGGCCCTGGTTGCAGCCAGCCTAGCCTCCTTGGGGCCTGGGATCGCCAGGAGATGTTGCATCCCTGATTCTTCCCAATGGGGTAAAGATTTATTTATATAGAATCATAGAATCACAGAGTTGGAAGGGGCCTCCAGGGTCATCTAGTCCAACCCCCGGCACAATGCAGGAAATCCACAAGTAACCCCAGTGACCCCCTCCTCCATGTTCAGAAGAGGACAAACAACCTCCAGGATCCCCGGCCGAACTGGCCTGGAGAAAAAAGGCTTCCTGACCCCAAAGTGGCGATCAGCATTTCCCTGTGGGGTGTCAAAAAGGGCCACGAGAACTAAGCACTGAGGCAACCCTTCCTGCCCTCCCTACCACGATCTGCTTGAGTTCAATTCAGGTATACTCTTCCTTTCTCTCCTAACGGGGACCCAGCCCGTTTACAGCCTTCTCCTCTCCGGCATTTCATCATCACTACCAGTGTTCCCTCTAGGCTGAGTTAGTGTGCGCTAGCTCACAGTTTTTTTAGCCTCCGGCTCACACAGTTTTGTCTTCGCTCAGGAAGGAGGGCTCCAGAGCAAACTAATCGATGCAGGAGCCAGATTGCTTGCTCACAACTTGAATGCCAGTCGCTCACAAAGTAGAACGTTTGCTCACAAGACCGCACAGCTTAGAGAGAACATTGCCTGAGCTGGGTTAGAGCGGAGGGAGCGTGACTGGCCTAAAGTCACCCAGTGAGTTTTCACGGCACAATTGGGGATTCGAACCTGGGTCCTCCCGGACCCTAGTCTGGCACACTGCCTCTCCAGTTCCCCTGGCCATTTCAGGCCAGGCAAAAGGCATGAGGGAAAAGAGATTGTCCTTCCTCCCTGAACACCGTGTCCCAGTCTAAATTGGGCTCCTGCATGCCTGGGAAAATAGTTCCCAGTGGGGAAATTCTGGTGTACCTCTGATCGAAATTCCTCATGCTGGACCTGGACATGATCCAAGGACTGTGAAACATGTGGTGTTAGGCTTGGGATCTGGCGAACTTGGGGCTCTAGTAGTCTCTGGGGTGGACGATCCTGGCTCAGGGTTCGTATCGGGCCACTCCTCGCTAAAGAGATCCGGTTCACAACAGAACTTTGAGCTGAGCTGTGGACGGTTGAACTGGAAGCGGTCAGCCCTTGAGGTTGGGGAGAGGGACTCGGAATGGTGCAGGATTCAGATCCATTTAAGTCTTGGGCAACGAGGGACTGAGGGGTGACATGATCGAGGTTTATAAGATTATACGTGGGATCGAGCAGGTAGAGAAAGAGGTACTTTTCTCCCTTTCTCACAATACAAGAACTCGTGGGCACTCCATGAAACTGCAGAGCGGTCGGGTTAGAACGGATCAAAGGAAGTCCTTCTTCACCCAAAGAGTGATTAACACATGGAATTCACTGCCACAGGAAGTGGCGGCGGCTACAAGCATGGATGGCTTCAAGAGGGAATTAGATAGGCATATGGAGCAGAGGTCCATCAGTGGCTCTTAGCCACAAGGTATAGATAGGGGCTCTGCGGCAAGGGATGCTCTGTCTTCTTGGTGCTTGGGGGGAGGCAACAGTGGGAGGAATTCTGGAGTTCTGGCCGCACTGGTGGACCTCCTGATGGCACCTGGTATTTCTGGCCACTGTGTGACACAGGCCCTAGTCACACGGGCTGGATATCGCGGGGGGGGGGCGGTAGCATGGCTAATTGCCCCGAAGGAAACTAACATGTGGCCGCCCGAGCACACGTCCCAGTCGAGGTCCCGTGGTTCGGGGGAAATGACGATCAGACAGGTATCCTGCAGCGCGGCACAGAAGCCACGCCGCATGATCGCACTAGCAATCGCTCTTTGTGTGCATGCGCTGTTGGGCGCTGTTGCGCAACCTGCGGAGACGAACAGCGGCGGGAGCCAGATGTCACGTAAGTCCACCGGGAACACGATCAGACGCCCGCTCTTGGCCCATGGTTTCAGGAAACTAGTACCTCGTAGGTACTAGTTTTTAACTCCGCACCTTCGGCGGGGAGCCACAGGTTCGCCACGGGAGCATTGCACTTCCCAGATGTTGCGGTGAGATCGCGCCCGGAAAATTTGCGGGACTCCCGTGCCTCTCCCGTAGCAACTTTGCCATGTGACTGGGACCACAGAGTGTTAGACTGGATGGGCCTCTGGCCTGATCCAGCATTGGCATCTCTTATGTTCTTATGTTCTTATGTTCTCCCTCTAAGCTGTGGAGCCTTGTGAGCAAAAATTCTACTTTGTGAGCTACTGGCACTAAAGTTGCGGGCAAGCGATTTGGCGACTGCATGAATTAGTCTGCTCTGGAGCTCTCCTTCCTGAGCTAACACAAAAATGTGTGAGCCAGAGGCTAAAGAACTGTGAGCTAGCTCACACTAACTCAGCTTAGAGGGAACACTGGTCTTGGGGAGAGAAACTGGCCCATCCCTACCTAGGGTTGCCAATTTCCAGGTGGGGAACGGAGATCTCCTCGAATTACAACTGATCTCCAGATGAAAGAGATCAATTCCACTGGAAAGAAACGGGTTGCTTTGGAGGAGGGAATAAATGGGATTACATCCCCCTGAGGCCCCTTCCCTCTTTAGACCGTCCCTCCCAAGGCTGCACCCCAGGGATACCGTCAGCCATTCCTGACACTTTGTCAGGGTCCTTAGTCAGGTTACACAACACAGGGCTTCATGAGAAGATAACTGTTTATTGGTAGATCCAGAACTAGAGACACGTGTACAGCTTGTGTCAGGAATGGCTGATGATACAAGGGCCACTGACTATATACTAGAATCAAACATTCCCCTGGTAAGCATAAACCAATGGATACATTTCACATGCATGGGCAAAGCAAGCAGGCAAGCAAAAGCCGTTAGCTTTCCCAGCCGAAAAACCACGGCTGGAACACCTACAAGGTCAAGCATAAGATAACATACAGTTGGTGAGCCAGGGAGAGCCGAGACAGAAAAGGGAGGGTACCCCTCCACATTCCAGACCTATGACAGGGCTACCTGGCAGGTGGGGCTTTTGGGGGCTTCGCCCCCTTTCTTAAAGGCACATCCCCACAAGAATTTCTCTTGTAAATGCTTATTTCAAAACATTTTTAAAGGCATGTGCTCCTTTAAGCAGAGTGGGGTGCTGTAGTTGACTAATCCCCGCACTGAGCAAGGGGGTTGGAGTAGGTAACCTCTAGGGTCCCTTCTAACTCCATGTCAAGAAATTGGTCTCCTTTAAGAGAGTTTTTCTGCCTAAGTGTTAGCTTCCTTGACTCTAGAAGTCATCACTCCCAGCTGCCAGCTGGTACTCAGAATTGTTGCTTAGGCTGGCGGATGTGATTAACTTGCAGCAGCTGCGGACTGTCATCTTAAGTGGTTGAACACTTGCAATTTAGAGATCTATCCTGGTCACAACTTCCTATTGGATACATGGCTTTTCTTTCTGCATTGAGAACTTCAGCCCCACCAGAGCAAAAATTGCCCCACAAGCCATACAATCCTGGCTACGGGCCTGCTGCACCCACTAATCTCCAGGAATTTCCCAACCCAGAGCTGGTAAACATATCCAGAGCAGCTCTGTTTCCTTCTTGGGCTGATAAGCTACTGAGGTTAAAAATTATTCTTTTTTTCTCCTTTTTTATTCCAGCTTTTGTGAAGCACATCATGGCCAGCTGAACGCCAGGTAGGCTGACATAACAGTCACACTATTATTCTTTCTGGAGGGATCCTCAATACATGATTAACCCGTCCTGTGTGTGGATATCAAGCAACTGATGGGCAGCTACAGGGAGGGAACTTCCTGAGTATTTCAGATGAGGGTCTTTGAAATTTAATGGAGAGAGAAGAAGGAGAGATTGGATTTATACCCCCACCCTTCACTACCTGAAGGAGTCCCAGAGCGGCTTACAATCCCCTTTCCCTTCCCCTCCCCACAGCAGACACCCTGTGAGGGAGGTGGGACTGAGAGAGCTCTCCCGAGAACTGCCCTTGAGAGAATAGCTCTGAGAGAACTTGTGACTGACCCAATGTCACACCAGCAGCTGCGTGTGGAGGAGTGGGGGATCAAGCCTGGTTTCCCCAGATTAGAATCCGTGCTCCTAACTACTACACCAAACTGGCTCTCAAACAAAATCTCCTTCAAGGAAACGCTCCCTGGAGTTACCGTCCACTGAGGTCTCCTGTGGTTTTTGCTGCCAGACAAAAAGCCGCTCAGATTTCATCCTGTGCCAGTACGGTGGCCAGCCTCCAGGTAGGCTCTGGAGATCCCCCCCAAATTACAGCTGATCTCCAGAATGCAGAGATCAGTTCCCCTAGAGAAAAAGGCAGCTTTGGAGGAAGGACTCTATGGCATGATATCCCACTGAGGTTCCTTCTCTCTCCAAACCCTGTCCTCCTCAGGCTCCACCCCCAAATCTCCAGCGGCTAACTGACCTTTGCTTGCTGATTTAGAGCTGGAGGATGGAGGTGATTTGGAACCAGCTTTTGGCATAAGTCCTGGCATGCCTGCACTGCACCCCATTTTCCTGCTGGTCGGCTTCTGTCGATGCTGGACTGGCTATGCAAGGCCCCTCCTCCTCTGAGGAGTCCTCACTGTCGCTGAGCCTGGCTGACCCATGACAACAGCTTTTGTCAGACAAAAGGCTTGAGGGTAGGGTCACCAACCTCCAGTGGGGCTTGGAGATCTCCTGGAATTAAAAGTGATCTCCAGACTACAGGGATCACTTCCCCTGGGGGGAAAAATGGCTGCTTTGAAGGGGGGGAGTTTATGGCATTATACCGCACTGAGGTCCTGCCCCACCCCAAACCCCACCCATCCCAAAGTCCACCCATAAATATCCAGGTATTTAGCTGCTTATAGCCGCCACCACCTTCTGTGGCAGTGAATTCTATGTGTTAATGACTCTTTGGGTGAAGAAGTACTTCCTCTTATCCGTTCTAACCCGACCGCTCAGCGATTTCATGGAGTGCCCACAAGTTCTTGTATTGTGAGGAAGGGAGAAAAGTACCTCTCTCTCGACCTGCTCGATCCCATGCATGATCTTATAAACCTCGACCATGTCACCTCTCAGCCGTCGTTTCTCCAAGCTAAAAAGCCCCAAGCGCTTTAACCTTTCATCATAGGAAAAGTGTTCCAACCCTTTTATCATTCGAGTTGCCCTTTTCTGCACTTTCCCCAGTGCTATAATATTCTTTTTGAGGTCAGGGGGCCTGGCCCCCAGACGCCCCACTGTAGCTACTGGCCTGCTTGGTGGCCTCCCTTTCAAGTGCTAACCAGGGCCAACCCTGATTAACTTCTGAGATCTGATAAGATCCGGCTAGCCTGGCCGTCCTTCCAGCCCTCTGCATTCCAACCCACCCTCTGTCCGGAAACGTAGCTCCAGAGGTCCGTTGCACTAAACCCCAGCGTCCCCATCACAACTCAAACTCCCCTACAATGACCGATAAGCTTCCTATTCCTCCCTTCGAGAGGATTAAAAAAGAGGAATGCAGCCTGCCGATGTAGAATAAAGATGCGAGTATATATCTTTTGAGCTCTTGGGAAAAACGTAACCCGGGGACCGAGCAAGCCATCTATCTTGTGAGCAAAAGGGGGGGGGGGAGGGTCTTAGATAAACGGAGAAAAAAAGTTTGAACTCTGCCTTACTAGTTCCTGTTTTCCTCTCCTCTTGTTCGCTTTATCTTCTCCTGTGTCCTGATCTTGTTTATTTAGTGGGATCTGAAATTATCGGAGCTGTAGCCACAGGCCCTTCAAAAACAGAAGGGTTTGTTTTTTGTTGTTTTAGCTGTTTGCCAGAGCCCCAGAGAGTAGCGGGTAATCCCAACACACACACACCCAGACTTTTGTCCCACAATGTCCAGCGCACCATTGACGACACGGATAGCTTTCTTTTCCTCGTAGCAAGTTTCCACATCTTTGGGACATCTTGTTGCTTCTCTTCTGACAACGGGTTTGTTGTCAGCCTTAGAGTTTGTTAGGACTCTTCTGGAATTAGGGGAATGTAAGAACATAAGTGTGTGTCTAATCTGGGAGAACCAGGTTTGGTTCCCCACGCCTCTGCATGCAGCAGCTGGATGACCTTGGGCAAGCCATAATCCTGTCAGAGCTGTTCTCTTAAGGGCAGTTCCCGGAAAAGCTCTCTCAGCCCCACCCACAGGGTGTCAGTTGTGGGGAGGGGAAGGGGAAGGAGTTTGTAAGTCGCTTTGAGACTCCTCCGAATAGTGAAGGGCAGGGTGTAAATCCAATATCTTCTTTTTCTTCTGAATCCTTGGACTACCCAGGCCCTTGACTAGGACTTTTTGTTGTTGTTCCGGGGGGGCATTTAAATGTTTAAGGGGGCAGTTAAATTACAGTTCATTAAATTAACCTGAATCCCTGTCTCTAAAGGGGGAGGCTCCGAGCATATTTCCCAGAAGCTCACGGGAATGCTTTTGAAAGACTCACCATGACCTAGGTGGTATACTGCAGGACCGGGCTGGGAAACAACCCGCCCCGCAAAAAGGTTTCTGGCATGGCTATTTGTGGGGCAGGGCTTTTAATTAAGGGGGCGGGGCCCCAAATGCCCACTGTAGCTACAGGCCTGGGACGACCCCTCTCCATCTCTCCTGAACTCAGTTTTGGGACGGTTCTGGCCACAGAGTAGGGGGTCACTGTCAGTGTTCCCTCTAAGCTGAGTTAGTGTGAGCTGGCTCACAGTTTTTTAGCCTCCGGCTCACACATTTTTGACTTAGCTCAGGAAGGATGGCTCCAGAGCAAACTGATTTATGCAGTATCCAAATGCCTCGCTCACAACTTTAATGCCAGCGGCTCACAAAGTAGAATTTTTGCTCACAAGACTCCGCAGCTTAGAAGGAACATTGGTCACTGTATGTGTGGGAGGAGGTAACTGTGAACTTCCTGCATTGTGCAGGGGGTGGGACTAGAGGACCTTTCTTGTTCCTGCCAGCTCTATATTTTGGTGCTTGTGCATTCACTCACAGCCCACACACACAGCCTCCTTCCTTGGCTCTCCTCCTCCCAGAGGTCACAAAGTCCTGATAATATGCAACCATTCGCTACATTCTCTGCATAGTGTATTGTTGGATCCCGCTCCCAGAGTCAATCGCTACTCTGGTTCACATGCTGTTCCAGTTATATAACGTTCCCCTTTGGTATCGGCATTCTTCCCAGAGTGGGTCCTCTGTGACTCCTGGCCCTGAGCGATTTGGAGACGATACAAACTGCAGGCATCAAACCCAACCCTCCCCCCCATCTCATCTAAATAAATAAATCTCCTGCCATTCCGTGTCCGGCTGAAATGATTTATTAGGATCTTCACGATAGTCTTTTCATCCTGAGCATGTCCGGAAGGTTTCAGATTTCCAACAAATTTAGGGGAAACGGGAGGGCCACCAACTGTTCATTTTTAAGAAGACTGATACGCAGCATGGGACCTGGCAATGTGGTGTTGCCAATCCCCAGGTGGGACCTGGAGATCTCCTAGGATTCCAACTGACCTCCAGGCTACAGAAATCAGCTCCCCTGGACAAAGCGTCTACTTTGGCGGATGCGCTCTATGGCATTATCCCTGCTCTTATTTTCATGTGCCCGCCCCCTGGGCTCTTTACTGCCGCAGCTCCGCTCCTGTGCGCTCCTGCAGGAAATGACCCCTGGGGCTTTTCGCTCTAGGTAGGGAAATACCTGGAGATTTTGGGGGTGGAACTTGAGGCGGGCAGGGCTTGGGGAGGGGAGGGACTTAAATGAGGTGTAATGCAATAGAACACACCTGACAAAGTGGCCATTTTCTCCAGGGGGAACTGATTTCTGGCGCCCGGGGGCCAGTTGTAATCTCGGGAAATCTCCAGCCACCCCCTGGAGATTGGCAACACTGCCAGCGTGTCCCAAGCCACATCAAATCCTATGATTGCAGGGATTCAGCCAATCTGCATCATTCATAATTAGAAGAAGAAGAAGAAGAGATTGGATTTATACCCCGCCCTTCACTTGGAGTCTCAGAGCGGCTTACAAACTCCTCTCCCTTCCCCTCCCCACAAGACACCCTGGGAGGTGGGTGGGGCTGAGAGAGCTCTTGACAGAAACGGCTCTTTTTCAAGGACAGCTGTGCCAGAGCTTGTGACTGACCCAAGGTCACACCAGCAGGTGCAAGTGGATGAGTGGGGAATCAAACCCGGTTCTCCCAGATTAGAGTCCACGCACTTAACCACTACACCAAACTGGAGGAGGAGGAGAAGAGATTGGATTTATACCCCACCCTTCACTACCCAAAGGAGTCTCAGAGCGGCTTACAAACTCCTTCTCCTCCCCCTCCCCACAACAGACACCCTGTGAGGTAGGCGGGGCTGAGAGAGCTCTGACAGAAACAGCTCTTTTTCAAGAACACCTCTTATCAGAACTACGGCTTGCCCAAGGTCATCCAGCCAGGTGCAAGTGGAGGAGTGGGGAATCAAACCCGGTTCTCCCAGATTAGAGGCCGCACACTTCACCACGACACCAAACTGGTTAATTCTGGTGCGGCGGCTTGTAGAGAGACGTGATCGTCCATGCAGATTCTCTTGGGAGAATCTCAGACTTCTCATCGCTGTCGGTTCGATTCAGAACTCCGTTCCCATTTATATACATTTCATTCCTCCCCTTTCGTGAATTAAGACCATAAGGTTTGCTTTAGCGTTTGCATTAGTTTCTCTTCCCCCGTATTGAATTTTCCCATTAAATCCACACATGTTAATGCTATTTTTTTTTAACATGTAACATATTCTGGCCATATGGATGGTATAAATATAGCACTAAAAGAAAAGAAAAAAACCTGGGGACTCCCGCAAGGCGGGGAAAAATGGAATTGCTTGCAGTAAGCAGATGGAAACAAAACGGGTCATATTCCTACTTCTCTGGCTACAGTTGCCAAATCTGGGTGGGGAAATACCTGGAGACGGGGAGGAGCGGAACCTGGGGAAGGCGGAGCTTCGGGGGGCGGGACCTCAGCTGGGTAGAATGCCATAGAGTCCACCCCCTAGAGCAGCCATTTCATCTCTGTCATCTGGAGATCATAGAAGAAAAAGAAGAAGAAGGAGAAGGAGAAGAAAGAGGAGAAGGAGAAGAAGAAGGAGAAGGAGGAGAATGAGGAGAAGGAGGAGGAGAAGAAAGAGTAGGAGAAGAAGAAGGAGGAGGAGAACAAGGAGGAGAAGGAGGAGGAGGAGAAGAAAGAGCAGGAGAAGAAGAAGGAAGAGGAGAAGAAGGGGGAGGAGGAGAAGGAGGAGAAGGAGGAGAAGGAGGAGAAGGAGGAGAAGGAGGAGAAGGAGGAGAAGGAGGAGAAGGAGGAGAAGGAGGAGAAGGAGGAGAAGGAGGAGAAGGAGGAGAAGGAGGAGAAGGAGGAGAAGGAGGAGAAGGAGGAGAAGGAGGAGAAGGAGGAGAAGGAGGAGGAGGAGGGGGAGGGGGGGAGGAGATTAGATTTATACCCTGCTTGCCAGTTTGGTGCCAGTTTTGTGTAGTGGTTAAGTGCACCGAGTCTAATCTGGGAGAACCGGGTTTGATTCCCCACTCCTCCACTTGCACCTGGCGTATGACCTTGGGAAAGCCAAAGTTCTGGCACAGCTGTCCTTGAAAAAGAGCAGTTTCTGTCAGAGCTCTCTCAGAACCACCTTCCTCACAGGGTGTCTGTTGTGGGGAGGGGAAGGGAAAGGAGTTTGTCAGCCGCTCTGAGACTCCCTTCGGTAGTGAAGGGCGGGGTATAAATCCAATCTCCTCCTCTTCTTCTTCACTCGGAGTCTCAGAGCGGCTTACAAACTCCCTCCCCCTCTCCTCCCCACAACAGACACCCCCTGAGGCAGGTGGGGCCAAGAGAGCTCTTCGGAGAACTGCTCTTGAGAGAACAGCTCTGAAAAAACTGTGGCTTCCCCCAGGTCATCCAGCAGCTGCAAGTCATCCCATCTCCCAGATCAGAGTCCGCACACTCAACCATTGCACCAAACTCATGGGAGATCTCCAGGCCCCACCTGAAGGCTGGCAACCCTATCCCTAGCACAGGCCTCCCGCCTATCTCTGAAGCCATCTGGATTGCAAAGCTGGTCTTCTCTACCTTTCGCTAAAACAACAGAATCTCATTCGGAAGCAACCCCCGTGGAAATCTCGTGAAATGTTTTCACCGCCAGTCTGTTGACTTTTGTTTGTTCACCTGTGCTTGTTTCTCACTCTTCAATCATGTTTTTTTTGTTTTGTTTTTTAGGATATGATGCACCACAACGGGATGGAGCTGGGTTAAAAGGCTTGGCTTTCGACAACAGCAGAATCGATCCAGGATGGATACTCAGATATTTCTCTCTCTCTCTCATGCTGGAATGGGGATTCCTCCATGCCTTTCTCTCTCTCTCACCGGGATCCCTGCGCCTTCTGCAGGGCTCCTCCTGCGACCTCAAACAGCCTCTCTTGAACCATCCAAACCTCAACTGACATCTGCCCCACCCCGGCCCCTGACTCCATCCCACCCCCATTCATTTGGGAGTCCTCGCCCTCTGCCTTCATCCCAACCTCGCCCTCTGAGCTGGATATTGTGACTTCAGCGTTCCCCAGAGAACACTGTCTGCATGTAAACTGAAATCCTAGTAGTTACTATTAGTAGTAGTGTGGTAGTAGATAACTACTATTAGTAACATTGTAGTAAACTCCTACTATTCACTAGGGCCGATTTCCCACAAGCAGCTGCTCCACCCTCGCTCTTCCCTTCCCCCCCCCCCGATTGTATGCGTCAGTTTCCTTGGTGCTCTGTCATCTTGCTCTGTCATCTTGGTGCTTGGGGGGGGGGCAACAGTGGGATGGCTTCTAATGTCCTGGCCCCACTGGTGGACCCCCTGATGACACTGGTATTTCTGGCCACTGTGTGATACAGAGTGTTGGACTGGATGGGCCTTTGGCCTGATCTAACATTGGCGTCTCTTATGTTCTTATGTTCTTTCCCACTATTTGCTGCGTCCACATTTTTCCCCACGGCTTCGCCCAATTTTCCCCACATCTACTCCGTCCTGTTTTTTGAGGATCAAGTAGACGTGGGGGGAATCGGGCGAAGCTGCAGGGCAAAAGGCAGCTGTGCGGCAAATAGTGGGAAATTGATACATACAATCGGGGGGGGGAAAGGGAAGAGCGAGGGAGCAGTGGCTTGTGGGAAATCGGTCCATGTGCTTCTTATAGCCACACATGTACCCATGATACAAAAATATTAATATTCTGCTCACGAAGCTGTGCTAGAATAGATTTGTCAGGGCTTTTTTTCTTTTTGGAAAAGGAGGTGTCGGAACTCTCAAGAGGGAAATTCTGACTTGGCTGGCTGGCACCCCGGCCCAGTTCCCTCTAAGCTGAGTTAGTGTGAGCTAGCTCACAGTTTTTTTAGCCTCCGGCTCACACATTTTTTTCTCAGCCCAGGAAGGAGGGCTCCAGAGCAAACGAGTTTATGCAACAGCCAAATCGCTCGCTCACAACTTGAACGCCGGGAGCTCACAAAATAGAATTGTTGCCCGCAAGACTCCAGAGCTTAGAGGGAGCGTTGAAGATGCCCATCTATATATTTGATCGCCAACTTTCTGGGAGAAAGTTTGGTGTCATGGATAGGAAGAAGAAGAAGAGAAGAAGAGATTGGATTTATACCCCGCCCTTCACTACCCAAAGGTGTCTCAGAGCGGCTTACAAACTCCTTTCCCTTCCCCTCCCCACAACAGACACCCTGTGAGGTGGGTGGGGCTGAGAGAGCTCTGACACAAACTGCTCTTTTTCAAGGACAGCTGTGCCAGAGCTTGTGACTGACCCAAGGTCACATCAGCAGGTGCAAGTACAGGAGTGGGGAATCAAACCCGGCTCTCCCAGATTAGAGTCCGCGCACTTAACCACTACACCAAACTGGCTCTCTAGGAGCGTGGACTCTAATCTGGGAGAACCGGGTTTGATTCCCCCACTCTTCCACATGCAGCTGCTGGTGTGACCTTGGGTCCGTTGCAAGTTATCTCAGACCCACAGCTAAGACCACACCTTCTTCTTTTTTTGAGCCCCCGGAGGGGATTTTTTATTGCTTTTTTTATAACACTACAAAAACTATAACAGAAGAAAAGGGAGGGGAAACTACAATTACGGGATAAAGTAAAGAACCCACTACTGACTAAAAACCCAAGAGAGGAGATCCTCCTACTAGCTTAGATACATCAAGTCTTCCCATCATGAATCACATTACAAACTGAGTCAAACATTTATAATACTTTTCCTTTTGAAGCTTAAAATTGTCTAGAAACAGTAACCCCGATCATCCCATTTCAAAATTCTCAAAGGCACCATTCAGAGTCCTTCAGCCTTTACTTCTCCTTTCCCCGTCTCTTCCGTAACTTATAAGGACTTTTTGGGATCTCTCAGCCCCATCTACCTCACAAGGTGTCTGTTGTGGGAGGGGAAGGGGAAGGAGTTTGTAAGCTGCCCTGAGACTCCAAGTGAAGGGTGGGGTATAAATCCAATCTCCTCCTCCTCCTCTTCTTGTTCTTCTTCTTCTTCACTGGTTCGGAGGGGGGGGGGATGTAGATCAACCAGTGGGGTTACCAACCTCCAGGTGGTAGTTGAAAATCTCCTGGGATTACAAGCGATCTCCAGGTGACAGTAGGGTTGCCAGCTTGGGGTTGGGAAATACCTGGAGATTTGGGGGGCGGGGCGGAACCTGAGGAGGGTGGGGCTTGGAGACGGGGGGGTATAATGCCACTGAATCCACCTTCCAAAGGGGCCATTTGCTTCAGGGGGACTGAGCTCTGTCGCCTGGAGATCAGTTGTAATAGTGGAAGAAAACTCCCGCCTGGAAGCTGGCAACCAATGCTCCCTCTAAGTTTCGGAGTCTTGTGAGCAAAGGTTCTACTTTGTGAGCTCCCGGCGTTAAAGTTGTGGGCGAGCGATTTGACTCCTGCCTAAATCAGTTTGCTCTGGAGCCGTCCTTCCTGAGCGGAGACAAAAATGTATGAGCCGGAGGCTAAGAAACTGTGAGTTGGCGCACATTGACTCAGCTTAGAGGGAACACTGCTGGCAACCTCCCCTCTTGTGGGTTTTTGTTGTCGTTGTTGTTCCTCCAAACGATGACTGAGAGGGGAAGGAGGGGAAGAGGCTGCACTCGGCAAGGACATCCTTTTTTCACTGTCTTGTTCGAGGAGGAGCTTTGATGTGAGTCTATCCGTGCACCGGCAAGGTGCAACGGTACCCAGAAGCACCAGCAGTTCAATCTGAAGTGTGTCGGATTCTTTGCCCAGACAAGATTTTCCCTGTACGATGAATCCAAGCCATATTTATTGCCCTTAAGTTCTCATTAAACCGATTCTTTTCTCAGCCGGGTGGATGTTTGTCTCTCCGTTCTGTTCCTCCCGCAAGGGATGGTGGCTGAGCGGCCATGCGCCTGTTGCGTGCAAAAGGTCCCGAGTTCAATGCCCGCGGTATTCCCAGGTTCCCAGGTTCTATCCCCCTGGTGTGCAGGAGGTGTCAGGTTCGATCCCCTGGCATCTCCGGAGAAACTGTTGGGAAGGAATCCCCCCCCCCGCCTGGCGATCCAAATAGCAGTGAACATGATGGACTGGCGTCCGGTGGTATAAGAAAGCTCCATACGTTCTGAACAGAAATCTGTTTTCCAGATGGCTGGGTCAGTATATGCCTTCCTCTGGCCAGCTTCTTCAAGTACATACTGAGCTGGATAGGGGATCAGGTGCAATTCCTTGGCCTCACTGGGGGTACATGTGTGTAGACTTTAGGGGGAAAATTCGACCTAATCAAAAAGACTTTTTTTTTTTTAAAGGGGCTATGTTTTGGACAACAGAGCTAGGCCACAGGGTAAGGCCACAGTCAAGAATCCAGTCCAGAGAACAAATACCGGTTTAGCAGCAGTCAGAGTTAATGGGTTGTTCAGGGAAGCAGAGTCAAGGCAGTCTGAGGTCATTGATCGGCAAGGTTCAGGCAGGTCCGAAAAGCAGAGTCAAAGGTCAGTCCAAAGTTCACAGGAGGCAGGCAGAGTCCAGAGTTGTAGTTAGTGCCAGTTTGGTGTAGTGGTTAGGAACGCGGACTCTAATCTGCGCGAACTGGGTGTGATTCCCCACGCCTCCTCATGCAGCTACTGGTGTGACCTTGGGTCAGTCACAAGTTCTTTTAGAGCTGTTGTCTCAGGAGCAGTCCTCGAAAGAGCTCTCTCAGCCTCACCTACCTCACAGGGTGTCTGTTGTGGGAAGGGGAAGGGAAAGGCGATAGTAAGCCGCTCCGAGGCTTCTTCAGATAGTGGAGGGCGTGGTATAAATCCAATCTCCTCCTCCTCCTCCTCCTCCTCCTCCTCCTCCACCTTCTTATCTCAAAGTTGTGGGAAGGGGAAGGGAAAGGCGATAGTAAGCCGCTCCGAGGCTTCTTCAGATAGTGGAGGGCGTGGTATAAATCCAATCTCCTCCTCCTCCTCCTCCTC